TTGTATAGCCATCATTTGGGTTGTAAGACCTTTGCGGAGTCAAGACCAAAGTGGGTCAAAGCGGGTCTATACCCCAAATCCATAATGTCATCAACTGATAAACCACTTTCTTCCACGGTCAGAACTTTGGTTAATCGTGCAATTGGCTGGTGGTGTGCTATGCATGGGATGGACAAGAAAACCGGCAAGTATGTCATGCAACCAAATAAGAAAGTAGTAGCAGATGCACTTGTAAGCAAATTTTTCTACTTATTAATTATATTTCCTTGTCAAGTACATTGTACTTAGATCTGATAAATGTTTGTGTTGTTAAAGCTCGAGCATACTTCGGAAGTGATTGAAGGCAAGCTGACTCCAAGCATCGAACATGATCCTTTCACCTTAGCTTTGGGAAAACCATACCACCCTGGGCGAGTAATTGGTTTTGGCGGGAAACAACTAGGGTGGGAGAAGGTGATGGGTTCAGAATACACCAAATCAGCAAAAAGCATATCAAGTGTTAATTCGCCACATCGGATTGATGGGAAGGAAAAGGAATCAATTAAGGCGGAGATACGCGCGGAGCTGCAAGAACAGATGCAAAGTCAATTCAATGCCATTCTGAAGCACATGAACTTGACGCCTTTGCCATTTCCCTCGAGTACCCCAGTAAACTCATGTAGTCACCCAAGAGGCCCCGAGAACGATCCAGTAGTTGAGAGAGAGGTAATTTTAGTACAAGGACGAATTACGTCATATGAAGTTCGTCTAATGAGGTCGTTTGCATGTTTAATTATTTTACTTTTGCAGGATCTTAGTCCTATGGATGCAGAGTCACTGAAGAGAGAAAATCCGATGCCTGAACCTTTCCCAGATGTTAAGGTGAACTTCACTACGTAATCAGCTTTTCTTATGTTAGGCTTTCGTTTGTTATTTCATAACTTATGTCCTAACTCCTAATCAAATATGTAGGAAGAGACGCCTTGTGAGCTTCTTCACCCCGGGGAAAACACCGGTGGACAGTTGCAGTTGGTGGGATATGGTAGTGCACAACCTTTCGAAAATGTCCATTTTAAGTCTAATACTAGCACCCATTACATCTCGGTCGGGATCGATTCTATAGTTGCTGGGTTTGAGGACTTACCACTACCGGTGCCTAGAGAGGAATATGATTTTTTTAAGCTGTGTGACGCGACCGGGAGCTTTGTGCAATGGCCACGTGATCGGTTGAGGTTGGTAGGAGGGGTAAGTAAACACTACTTGTATGTAACTACTTGTATGTAACTAGATTAACATGTGCTTTGTGCAATGACCATGTTCTTTTATGCTACTAGATTAATATGGAAATTCAGTCTACTAAAAGGAAGAAGGTGGAGAAGCCAAAATCCAAGGAAGAAGGTCCTCCGAAGATGGAACAAGGACAAGTGTCGAAGAAGAGTTCGAGAGCTTCATGTACTCCACTGGTAGAAGCCAATGTCCTTAGGTCGCTTTCGAAAGCATGTACTTTTCTTCACAACCGTGTTAGTGAGTTGCCTACGGGTACACATATTCAAGTGAACTTGCCTAAGGCATTGTTCCACTATGATGAGGATGGGATCGCATACATTTCTAGAGAGGATGTGACGGAATTTCTAACCGGTTTCATGCTTAACATTTTCATCATTCAAACTTTCATGAGGTAAATTAACGAGACTATTTCTAAACATATTGTATTTTTGATATTTTTGTACCAAAACAATGCAACTAGTAATTACTTGCACACATTACTTTCTTTAAGGTCACTACAGGAGCTCCTTGCTAGTAAACCCGATGGTGAAGCAGCAGTTGGGTGGTTATGCCCCGAGCAGACCTCCGTAACCAAATGCTTTCATAACCCTCGTGATGTGATAGATTACCTTGAGCGGGGTATTAGAGAATCAATGCATGCGGGAAACAAGTTCATATTAGCCCCTTGCTTTGAGGAGTAAGTTTAAATATGTCACTCTTAATTTGTTTGTTAAGCATAGATGTTGACGCATAACAATTGATGGATTGATATTTGCTTTAATATATATGTAGTCTACATTGGAGCCTTATGGTGATTTGTGTTTCCAATAACACAATCTACTACTTTGACTCGGCTCGTATATGGCCACCAAGGAAGTTGCTAGTGAATAACCTATTGAATAGGTACATACCGCTTCCTATATATTGTTTTGTATCATCACCTAAGTGATTGAGTGGCTATGTTCCTAAATTGTTTGTTTTTTATTTTTTTGAAGTGTTATGAAGAAGTTGAATTGTCGTTCGGTTGCGGGTCCCACGTGGAAATATTCGAAGGTAAAGCCTTGATATATTGATTTATTTAATAAATTGCCTTGAGTTATGGCAATGCATGACTATTTTAACTTTGTGTCATGTTAGTGTGCGCAACAAGACAACAGCATTGACTGTGCCCTGTACGTGATGAGATTTATGCATGACATAGTCAATAGGTGCACTGAAGCCCAACACATTGAGGAGGTACTTGTTTTTACTTTTTTTCAGTTCGATTTCGGGTAAAAGTCGTCCTAAAACTAAGTAGAATGATAATTTGCTATGATTCCAAACATTAGACGCCTAAGACTAGTTGTAATTGACATGTTATGATAAAGAAATAGATCATTAGATAAGAAATGTAGAAATCGGGCAAAGTAGTAGTAAAATAGGCGATTTTGGGTAAAAGTCGTCCTAAAACTTAGTAGAATGCTAATTTGCTATGATTTCAAACATTAGACACCTAAGACTAGTTATAATTGACATGTTATGATAAAGAAATAGCTCATTAGATAAGAAATGTAGAAATCGGGCAAAGTAGTAGTGAAATAGGCGATTTTGGGTAAAAGCCGTCCTAAAACTTAGTAGAATGCTAATTTGCTATGATTTCAAACATTAGACACCAATTGACATGTTATGATAAAGAAATAGCTCATTAGATAAGAAATGTAGAAATCGGGCAAAGTAGTAGTGAAATAGGCGATTTCGGGTAAAAGCCGTCCTAAAACTTAGTAGAATGCTAATTTGCTATGATTTCAAACATTAGACACCTAAGACTAGTTGTAATTGAGATGTTATGATAGAGAAATAGCTCATTAGATAATAAATGTAGAAATCGGGCAAAGTAGAAGTCCAATAGGCGATTTTGGGTATAAGTCGTCCAAATACTTAGTAAAACCTTCTTCTGATGCGATTACAGACCTTAGACACCCAAGACTAGTTAATATGGGTCTGCTCTAAGGACAAATTAGGTCATTTGATACAAAATGCAGAAAATGGGAAAGTGAGCACCCGAGGCAACTACAGCACCCGAGGCAACAGCCTCGGGTTATGCCAGGCAGCTGCAAGCAGCCACCAGGAAACTGCAGCAGCCTAGGCAGCAGCAGCAGCAACCTAGGCAGCTGCACAGGCCGCTGCAGCAGCCACCAGGCAGCTGCCTTGCAGCAGTCGTTCAAGAAACCGAGCCGCTCCAAAAGCCAGCAGCCCGGGGAGTAATTTATTGGCCTATTCATGGCACCTCATGTTATTTTGTGTAATTTTTGCGTACTTGTTAGTGTATAAGCTAAATAAGTCACTTACGTCGATTTTTGTTAAAAATCGTACTAAAACTTAGTTGGGTGCTCATTTGATGTGATATCATAAATTACATGCCTAATACTAGGTATTATGGGCATGGTTTGAGAAAAAAAATTTCAAACGGAAAAAAATGTAAAAAATGGGCAAGTAGAAGTGGAATAGGCGATTTTGGGTAAAAGCCGTCCTAAAACTGAGTAAAATGATCTTTTGCTATGATTTAAAACAAAAGAAACCTAAGACTAGTTATAATTGACATGTTATGATAAAGAAATAGTTCATTAGATAAGAAATGTAGAAATCGGGCAAGTTAGAAGTCAAATAGGCGATTTTTGGTAAAAGCCGTCCTAAAACTTAGTAGAATGCTAACTTGCTATGATTTCAAACATTAGACACCTAACACTAGTTATAATTGACATGTTATGATAAAGAAATAGCTCATTAGATAAGAAATGTAGAAATCGGGCAAAGTAGTAGTGAAATAGGCGATTTTGGGTAAAAGTCGTCCTAAAACTTAGTAGAATGCTAAATCGGGCAAGTTAGAATGATGTTTGAAATATTTAACATATATACATTATTATTTTTTAATTATTAGTTTGAATTTTATGTAATATATGAATGATGTTAATGTTTGGTATTTTTTTCTTTCCAAAGGTTTATAAGATTCAAAGGGAAGGCCCTTTGACAAAGGAAGAAGTTGATGAAATTCGCGACATGTGGGCTTTTTTGTGACATTTGATGGCATCTAGGTAGAATATATAATATATATGTGTTAGTTAGATAATGAATGAGATTGAGTTTTTTTTTTTTATGAACAATTAATATTTAGTTACTATATCTTTTTTATTTTTATTAAATCCATATGTACATTATATTACTTATTTGTAATTAGTACTATATATTATTTATGAGTTTTATATATGTTATTATTATTATGCATTTTATTGTTATTGAATTATTATTATTCCAAAATTTGTAATATTTTTAATTAATTATTAATTACTAATATTAATTAATAATAATATTAATAATAATAATAATTTTTAAAATTACAGATTAATGTGCATATCAAAACAGGTCACTAATAATATTATTATTATTAATTGTTATATATATAAAAATAAAAAAAAATAAATAAAAAAAAATTACAAATGGCAAGCGGTTTTGGCGCCAAACCGCTTGCCTTCCCCCCAAATGGGAAGCGGTTCTGAACCGCTTGCCATTTACATGGCAATTGGCAAGCCCCTTAAACCCATGCGGTTCAGAACCGCTTCCCATTAGGGGGTTTGAACCGCTTCCCATAATGTTTTTTCTACTAGTGACGGTTTGGTACTTTACCAAAACAAGACAAGGATGTACTTCATATATATACTTGTATTGGTTTAAAATTCGTAAAATCTAGTAATCATAGCTGAGATGCTCAAGTAAGTACCTCAAAGTATAAGCTGGCATCTATGCCGCCTCCCACAGAGGAGTATGTGGTCTCTTTGAGAATGCAGCTGACCGATAACATCTTTAATGTCCATTCGATCTTGTGGCAATTCAGAGGAACATTTCACCCCAATCATGATCATTGTTGCTATGCAGTCGAAAACACATTTAGTAATGCCGCCTGGCCTTCTATCATACAAGTCCATGTTTCTTTCTTCAACATCATCAAACTTAAGCTTAGGATCTATGATCTCCAACAAATGATCAGCCAAACCTAACTCTGCAAACTTGTGCAGGCTCATATCTCCTTCGAATATCAAATCAGTGGGCTTCTTTCCGGTCATCATCTCTAGCAAAATGATTCCGTAACTGTACAGATCACCTGCTGCAGACACTGAAGATCCAAGGCCGTACTCTAATACCACATATCATCAATCATTACAAAGTTATCACTATTAGATGCAGAATAAACTTTTTTAAATATTAATTTGAGATAAGGTGGTGCAAATTTACCTGGAGCAGTATAGCCAACAGTTCCTCTAACTCCTACAGAGCTACTATTATAGAGTTGCTCAGATATTTCTGGAATAAGCTTTACCAACCCAAAATCTCCAACATGGGAAGTCATGTCATCGTCAAGCAAAATATTGGAGGGCTTCAGATCGCAATGGATGATAGAAGTACCAATGCCGTTGTGGATGTAGTCTAGGGCATGTGCTAAATCTATGGCAATATTTAACCTTTGTTGAAGGGTCAGATTCTGATACTGAACATCTTCTTCTGGATTTGAGTGTAACCATCTCTCAAGGCTCCCGTTTGACATAAGTTCGTAGACCAAAGCTTTGAAGACATTTCCCTGAAAGCCAATGCTAGAGCACGCAGTGATGACTCCCACAAGATTCCTATGGCGGATAATTCTCAAGGCCTCACATTCTGCTACAAAGCTCTTACAGGCTCCTCGACGCTGATTGTTAATCACTTTGATAGCAACAACCTTTTTTACTCCCTCAAGAAGGGTTCCTTTGTAAACAGCACCAAAACTACCTGAACCAATCATGTTCTCAGTAGAAAAACCATCAGTGGCTTTGAGAAGCATGTCATATGACACTTTTATGAATGGTTCCTTGAACAAGAGCCCTGAAACTGAAGCTTTGCTTCGACGTTTTGTACAAATCAGATAAAGCGATGTCACAATAGCTACCCCTACAAACACACATGCTACAATGGAGACTGCAACGATGACAACTGCAGGAGGCTTCCTTTTTCCCTTCAATGTAGGGCAGCTTGGTAATTTGAGCTGTGGAATCCCTCCACAAAGCTTTGGATTACCAACAATTGATATTGCACTAAGATTAGCAAAAACTCCTTTGGTTGGAACTCCGCCCTCAAGGTTATTGAAAGACAAATTCAGCAAAACCATGGAGGAGAAATTGAAGAAGTATTCTGGCACTTGTCCAGCCAACTTGTTAGATGAGAGATCGACAATATGAAGACCTTCCAAATGGCTAAAAGATGGAGGGATGAATCCTGAAAATGAGTTACCTTTCAAAGACAAATTTGTAAGAGCAACACATTCAGAAAGACTAGTTGGAATAGTACCGGAAAAATTGTTATTCGACAAATTCACAGTTACTAGATTCTTTAAGCCACCAATCTCTGAAGGCAGAGAGCCTTGCAGGTGATTATGGTCAAGAAAGAGGTGAAGTAACTCTGAAGCTTGGAAAAGCTGGTAAGGTACATTTCCAACTAGATTATTATGGCTGAGATAGAGGTATAGTAAACTGTTGCAATTACCAAGAGTAGCAGGTACCGTCCCTTGAAATTTGTTGTTCGACAAATCCAATTTACTCAACAAGGATAAATTTCCTAGGGACAAGGGAATACTACCAAAGAGCTGATTGTTTGAGAAAATTGTTTCTTGCAACCTAGTCATCTTACCAATGTCAGCCGGAATAGTTCCAGTGAATCGATTATCATTTAGATGAAGGTATTGTAGGTTCAAAAGACTACTCATCCCCAAAGGAATGTTTCCTGACAACTGATTGCTACTAAGATCTAGCCATCGGAGTTTGGTAGATTGATTGGCTACAGACAGAGGAAGCATCCCGCCAAAGTAATTTCCTGAAGACAACAAGATTTCAAACCGACTACAGTTCACTAGATTGTCTATGAAACTGAGATCGTCAGCTTCTCCTCTTCCATGGATGGCATCATATAGAAGTACCTGTGACAGGTTCTTCATATTTCTTTCATCCAGCATGAATTTTCCAGTAAAATCATTACAAACAAGACTAAGATATTCGAGGTTGGAAAGGTTAGACAATGAGATAGGAATAGCTCCTGAGAGTTGGTTATCTCCGATTTGAAACCATCGAAGTTGTGGGAAGTAGAAGCCAAGATTAGATGGAAGACTCCCAGTTAATTGATTAAAATTTAAAGAGAGTTTTTGGATCTTTGAGAGATCGTATAAAGAAGGAGGAATCTCACCAGAAAAGCTGTTACCTCCAAGTGCAAGAACTTGGAGGTCTTTGAACTTTCCTATAAAATTTGGGATTCTTCCTCGAAAACCAGAAGGTCCCTCTGTATCTGATCGTCCAGACAGGTACAATGCTGTTAACGAAGTTAAATTTGATAAAGGAGAAAGGTTATCACCTGTTAAGTTGTTGCAGTCAAGTCCGAGGACTTCTAGTTTGGACAACAAGGAAAGTTGGGAAGGAATATCTCCAGTGAGTTTGTTGTAACCCAACTCAAGATTTTTAAGCTGCATGCAACGAGAGATGTTTGCTGGGATTTTTTGTTCGAATGAATTGTGATACAGGTTAAGAGTTTGCAGCCTAGAAAGACGACCAACTTCAGGAGGAATATGGCCGCTGAAAGTGTTGTTTGTCAGTATAAGAGCATGTAGAAAACTCAGGTTTCCTACAAAAGGCGATAGACTCCCTACCAATTCTTTCTCAGTTAGATTCAGTACTGTCACTCTTTTGTGGCGACGGCCACATGTGACACCTTCCCACAGGCAAAAATTGGTAGACTCATTCCAAGAACTCAGCACTCTATGAGGATCTGAGGTTATCTTAGCTTTGATGGCTAACAATGCAACATGATCGGTCTCATTCCCTTTAGTGAAGGAATCAGAGATCGGAGTTGTTGGGATACCTAAGACAATTGTGTTTAGAACATACAACAAGCGAAAGATGGTGAAGAGAGGCATTATTTTTGACATTGGTTTATAGTCGTAAATGTCTAATAACTAATGAATATTATTGCTACTTGCTACTCCGTATGAGTATATGACTCTGATGAGCTATTTATAGGCATGTGTACACGGTGCACACGTTAGAATTTTAGAGTATTTACACGGTATGATCTATAAGTTATGATGTATGAATTTAATCGTTAATAAAGGAAGATTAAGCTATTATTTGTGTCTCTTGAGACTTATTGTTTTTAACAACTACAACTAGATATTAATTTCCAATTAGTATGCCTCTATGACATATCAATGGGGTTTTGGTTAATGATAAAGACTAAGAATGGAGGTCAATGTATGATAGGTTGTAGGTTCGAATCCACCTCCCTTATTTGTATGTACATTTTACAACAACAATTACAAAAGAAAATCTTATAAGCCATTAGTTCAGATATTGCTTCAGTCAAGTGTGAATTCATGCCTAGAATATTATATCACCAAGTCCACATTATTATTAATCTGTTCTTCATAAGTATCTTTGATATTTGCTATTGTAATCAATAAATCACAATATGATTTGTGTACATCATGACGGGATATTTTAATACAGTATTTGGTTTCAAAAAATTTAATACAGTATTTGACAAAATTATTATTTTGTTTTAATACAGTAGCAATAAGTAAATCTTTAAGAATCTATGATAAGATAATTTGAAAGAGGGGATGTGGAAAATCTGAAAGTCATAGCAGGCTTATATTAAATAACTTGGTACAGAACGTTGAATAAAGGTTATAGTAAATGAATTGTTCTGAGTCCAAGTCTTTGTACATGATTATCACTATAAAATTCTACTGTAATAATTTATAGTTTAACTGGACAAAGCAAAGATCACAATAGAGAAAATGAAGATCACATTGAAGAAAGTAAAGATTACAAAAGAAAAAGTGAAGATTACGATGGAAAAATGAAGATTATTTACTGAGAGTAAAAATCACGAAGGAGAAAATGAAGATCGCGATAGAACGAAGAAATAATCCCAAGTCTTTTTTTTTCAATAATATAAATACTTTCTTAGTTGTTTCCTAAACAAGTTTAATTTATGATTTTATAATTTAGTATTGGAAGTTATTATCAACTTTATACCTATGTAAAGAAATGTTAGATTTAGGGTATGTTCACATTTACTTAATTTCAGTTCGGTTCAGTTCACTTCAGCTCCAATCAGATCACTTCAGCTCCTATTTTCCCTTTCTCATAAAATATTCATTTTAGCTCAGCTAGTTCAGTTTAGTTCAGCTCAGTAAATGTGAACAGACCCTTATTAGGAATTATTGTTTATGAATTTTGATTGATTAAGGAGGATAAGATAAATTTATTTCTCATGTTTTTGTGAATCCATGATTTTGTATTTCTTCTATTTTCAATTTTTTTGCTCTTTCATTTACTCACTTTACTTACTCTTTTTCCAAACTCTTATAGGGGGCGTTTGGTCCACGGAATATAGGTATGATGTATGGATTTAGAATGACTAAAACCCATAACATATGTTTGGTTGTCAAATGTAAGATTTTTAAACCCGTACCTCAAATCCATGACTCCATGAAGTATGGGATTTAGAAACCTTAGGGAGGAGAGTTTAGCCTATTCCATTCCCTTAGGTATTAAATAATTAGAGGAAATAGTGGGAGATTTCATTCCAAAATTGAACCAAATACATGTTATTAACTATTAAGTATTAAGTTTCCAACTCAATACCCCCTTAATCTCATTCCTAATTCCAAACCCATAGTTGTTTGCGAACCAAAAGTTCCCTTAAATAATGGTTTTGTTATGTCCATTTCTTTAAATCGTATAATTCTTTACGACGATTTAGGTTAGCCGGCCTCAAATCATTTTAGGACTAAGGCTTTGTTGTTGTTATCGTCAACCAAACAACCATTCCATTTGCAAATTCCCATGGATTTCTAAAGATTAGCCAAACAAACTATAATTAAAAAGATTCTCTCTTCTTTGAAGTAATTGTTGCTATATTACATAGGCTGTGTCCTTTCTCTCCTCCCTTCTGATCCCCTCTCATCTCTCCCTCCTCTATTCCTCTAAGGTCTTAAAATCTTTTGGTCATTTAGGCCAAAAACGGTCTAATATATTGTCTTTTCCTTTGTTTTTGCTTTAAATTATATGGAGTACATATTTCCATTCCTTAGACATCTCTTTGAGCTAAGAAGATCAGCGAGCTATAAGCATTAAAGCTCAACCAGAAAGTAGTAGCAGTGCTAACAGAGTGAACAATCGATTCGCCCCAATCATGATACTCCCTTCCTTCATCATATTAAAATTTCAAAATGCGAAAAATTGCCTGCTACCATTTTTATTTGCGAGAGATCTTGAATCTCTCTCTATAAGAAGCTATTGTGACTATGCAAATCATAAATATTTGCTTCATTAAATCATTATGTATGAAAGAGGCAGACTCATAGTCAGCACCTAGTCTGATATAGTATAACATATAATTGTGTGTTACAAACTTTGACAGCTATAGTACAACAATCAAATAGGTCGTAACTGACCTAAATGACTAAAAAAATCACTCTAGTGAATTCCTCACAAATCAATAGCACATCAGTAACAATCACAGTTTTTCACGTTCATTTAGCCGTGTCACCTTGATCACCATTCGTGTGTAAAGGTGTCAATTGTGGTCATACTGAAGCTTGTAACATAGGTTCAAACTTCTCAACAAATTGTGGAATTGAAAGAACAAACTTATAACTCTAATTTGTATAAATAAGGGCACGTTTTAAGCACTTAGACTTTTATCTAGCCAGCTTACATCATTTGCTTTTCAATTCTCAACTTTAGATAGCAGTGCAAGGTGAAGCAAGGACATGAATGACATAAAAACAATTTGTTGAGTAGGCAGTACCAAAAAGTCATTGGACTCATAATGAAGCAAAACCTGCATTTCACTAATTTCACTTTGAATTCCTACTAGTATCCTACTTCCTCCGTTCTTTATTACTTGACCCGCTTTGACTTTTACACTATTCACCACCCCTCCTTTGATCGTCTTTTGTGAATAATATGCAAGGAAAAATATATTCACGTATGATCTTTTTGGATTCGTCTCAATAAGTACTATCATAATATATAACTTTTATAATTTTTACTTATGGGGAGTTTAAGTTATTGATCGTTAAAGTTTTGCATTGGTAAGCGTGATAAAAAAAACAAGTCAAGTAAAAAAGAACAGAGGAAGTAGATAATATCTCACTTTTCAAAAACCAAAAAGAAAAAAACATATACGGAATAACTAGAAAGAACAGTTGCCATACCTTCACCAGTATCCTTTACCATACGATAAATATAGAAGTTCTGCAGCCGGAAAAAATCCATACACAGTGCAGTTCTAGAATAGCCCAAAACCACCAAGCATATCAGATCTTTTATATTTCTGCCATCAATATCTTTGAGATGATCTACAACTGACTGAGGTGGTATAAATTTTTTTCTTATTTCTTTTCCCATTGTAAAATATATGTACACAGGCAGAGATACTTAGACTCTAGAGTAATGCCGCAAGCTAAAGGACTAGTCTAACCAAAATCTGTGATATTTTCATCCTTCAAACAATGAGGGTAAGATGAAATTACATTCTCTATTCTACAACAAATATATTCCAATAATAACAATTTTAAAGCACCCCAAAATCAAGAAGCTGTTGTGATCCATTCATCACCTTGTAGAAAATTCTGTACAGAAAAGGTGAAGATGTGTTCGGCAGGAATTTGTCTACTCCAAGGAACTCTGTTAGACAAACCAGCACCGGGACCGGTATTTCCAACCTCCCCATAGTAGAGAGTAGACAATGCAAAATCTCCAGACCATGGAAGCCAGCCAGCAGGGGTGATGAGAGCTTCCATGTTGCTGTTGATGTAAACTGTCCGAGAATACATCTTCCATGGCCTCCCTAAGTAATTCTTGTGCTTGCTAGGCTTACTGTTGTAAAGTTTCATGTACTCCTCTGTTCCATTAATGTGGCAACCCTGAAAGGCAAACCCTGTGGTTTGGGCTGGGTCTGTTCTTCCATGGGCAGATATAGCATTGGTCTCACCACTCGCAGGTTTAAGTTGGCGAGGACGGACTAGAATGGTGCAGTCCTGGAAGATGGCAGCTGCATTGCCAAAGATAAAGTCGACATTTCCTTCAATTCGACATGATTTGAAGAGCTGTCGGAGGGAATGGACATAGATGGTGTCCTGGTTACCAAGGAATTCACAGTTTTCAACGTAAGAGAAGTCACTGTCTGAACGGAAGGCTACAGCTTGGTGAGCATCTGGTCCTGCCGTATTTTGAATAGTAAGACCACTGGCCATGAATCCATCACCAAGAACACCTGCAATAAGAACACATCAGTTCATGCTCCCATTTGAAAAAGGCTGCAAAAACACATCATATTACTCTTGCAGCTTCACAGACACAAAAGCATAATAAGTACACATAATTACATATGAGTAAATGAGTAGGAAAACACAATAGTCAGATTTCCAATATAACTCACATCACATATCTCCTTTAATATGTACCAAGGATCTGTAATAATCATCAGGCAGATACAAGACAAACCACTAACTCTAGATCATTGATGCTTCAGAAAAAAGCATTTGCAAACAAACAACCCATGCATGGACCTACAATGTTGTAAATGAGTATATATGAATGCTTCTGCAATGATCATTAACATTAATTGCCTAGCCACATACTCTAGTTAAGCCCAGCTACCCATTACTCGGGTTAGATATTTAAGGAGACAGGGCATGTGAAGTTTTCTTGCTACTACACACTAGTACTGAGTATCATGAATTGGGCCAGTGACTATTTATCACATTCCACATCAGGATGGCGACACTAACAGCGTCAATATTTGGTACCACTTCCCAATCTAAGGTAGTATAACTTAATCAAGTGAAACTTACCAAACAATTGCATAACAGATTCCTAAATCTAAATTAGTATATAACTTAAATAGCCATGATTATCTTTCAATGAATGCCCATAACTTCCAGATAGGAGACTAAATTCAAATTAATACTCAGTTTATTCAGCCCAATTCAAATAATTACTAAGTCACCATCTATGTTTACTTCGACTCAGCTAAAAGTGTTGGACAAGGGTACATGTCCAAGTGTTATGCTGTGCCAATATCCGAGTGTCATAAATCCAATACATATATTTTAGGTTAAACGAAGAGTCATTACATAATTCAACATCAACAGATTCAAAACTACTATACATAATAAAAATTAGATGCAATTTCTCACACAAACAAATAAAGAAGACAAGAAGTCAAGAACTCTAAAAAGTCTAGAACACCTTTTAACCTAACACCAACATCAATGCATGCATAATTAGAAAATCATCAACTTAAGCCCCATAATAATACTAGAATAATCAACTCACCGACAGTAGCAGTATTATAGGTGGTGATCCCCTGTATCCCAGTGCTCAAAGAACCAGTAATGACAGTTTTACCCATGCCATCCCCCAAAAACACCAAATTCTTTTTATTAAAAGGCACCCTCACTATCTCATCATAAACACCTTCCTTTATCTTGATCACATACTTCTTCCCTCCATCCAAATTCTCCGGCGCCCCATCCACCGCGTCCTGCAACTTCTCGTACTTACACCCTCCTCCAGCACACACCGTTGCATCCGCCTCCTTAAAAGAACTCGACAACGACCCAAACTTCAGAGTTACTGACTCCGACCCCGACACAACAGGCTCCCAGAACCCGTCCCGCTCAGTACGAGGTGGGGTCCATGAGGCCAGATCAGGCCCTAGCGCGTCCAGCGCACGCAGCATGCTGAGCGCGTTGCTGGTTGATGTGATCAAGACGGTATCGAAAAACGACATCGTCCCGTTCACTGCGGCTGAATCATTGACGTACTTCAGACCTGTAAAACATCATGTGTTACAGAGATGTTACATAAACATCAACTATAATTTCTTACGCATAAAACACCTTATTGAAAACAGCTAACTACTTCGTATTACATATCTATCACCCAACCATCCAATCGTAAATCATCCACAATATTTTATTAACGTTAAAAACTTTCTTCATTTGTTGCGACATTTATAAATCTGTACTGTCCAAGTCGTTTTCATTTGACCACCTCGTTGATACTCTGTATTTAAATACTTAGCAAAATACAGGCAATGCTGTTAAATTTGCCTCAATTTATACTTCACAATACCAAATTTTTATTATGTAAAATACAGAGTAAAAATCTGAGAAAAATACAATTTTATCATCTTCATAAACAACCTATTTGACAAACTGGTTCTCCGTAAACAAAAAGCAAAAAATGTGCACTATTCATGATAAAACCACTAACTACTGAAACCGCTAATAACCATTAAACGAGTACCTCGGAAAAAATCTAACAATTTAGAATTAAACAAATTTAATAGAGTTAAATGTATAATGAGACGTAATTGAATTACCTGACCAACAGTCATACTGATAAGAAAGCGCAGCGCTACCCAATGCACGTGCGTCCTTAAGCTTCCCACGTGCCAAAGCATCCTCCGCGGCAGAACTCCGAGCCTGAGAATTCCCCAAAACCTCAAGACACGTTTGGGCGGCACGTGAGCGGTTAGGATTATGAGCCGAAGCGTCTAGAATCTCCTGGACCATAGCCTGACCCGTTTTAAGATTCTGGGTCGAGACCTGAAACGCCAACTGAATTATCCCAGCCGGGGTCGGATCCTTCGAAGCCCGACCCGCTAACATGGATTGACACGCATCAGGAAAACGGGTCGCCCGGCAAGCCTGGCGGATTGAAGGTTGAATGTCGGAGAATTGAACACGGGGATTCTTGGGGTGGCGGTGGGCGGAGGAGAGGGAGGAGAGAGAAAGAAAGAGGAGGAAGAAAAGAGAGAAAGCCATTGAAAGAAGGAGAAAGAGTATTTTCTTGTAATTATTGTTGTTGTTAATTTGGTGGGGTTTAAAATGGGGGTAAGAATTGAGAAATGGGTTGGCATTTATAGGATTTCTGGTAAAAGGAGTTGTCATTTATGAATAAAATTAAATGAGGAAATAAGCCAGATTTGGAAGGGTGTGATATTGGAATATGAATAGGAAAATAAAAAATGGGTTGATTAGATTAGATATAATATGATTTAGATTTAATTAAGGAGGTATTGATTTTTGAATGTGGCTGGTAATTAAAGGTGGATTTGAGTGGGGATTAATGGGGAGTGAGTGTGAACAAGTATGGGGGAGTTTGTGGAAGACAGAGTGTTTGAAAATTGTTAGGGGGGTTATTTTTTTAACTGTTAAGAGTCACGGGATGAGAGAAAAGGAGAATGGGGAATTCGGGAATGACGTAAGCGATCACGGGAGTGGGAAGAGATGGAATAATGGGAGTACTGGTAGGAGTATTAATTTTTGTATTTGTGATGCTAGTGTTTGGAGGAACTAGAAATGGAGGAAAGTTATGCATTTACTAATTCATAACATTCATTAAAATATTATAAAAATACATGGTAGAGAGAGATATGAAGAGAGAGGCATGTAAGTGGACCACACCTATTTTTTGGTCGGATTGTATCACGTGATGGGGGACCACATGCTTATTGTTCCACTGAAAGTTTATATAGTACCATTGAATCCTTAGTAGTACTATTTACGCATAAATTTAGTACAACTGAATGCATATATAATCCCATTATGTGCACATATAGTCTCACTATATATTCAATAGTACCATTTGATCATCCAATGATATCAGAATATTTATTCGTTTGTACATATGCATAATTACATGAATACCCTTTGTTATGCATTTCTAAATGCCTAACATTCCTCCCTTTAAAATTCCTCCTAGTGTTTGTTTGTTGTTTGTCGTTTGATTATGGTATTGGTAGATTCAATATATGGGGGGCCATCATATGTAATCGGGGTGCGCCTTCTCTGCATAAGCATAACTGCATTTAGGCTTAGATGAGTTAGATCCGTCTTGCAGAGTTGCAGCTTCTTTTGCCTATTAAAAAATTGATTTACATCACCTTTTTGGCTATCCTACATCCCAATTTGGCTATTTTTCCGATTTTATAAAAATAATTGTAACTGTTTGATTTTGCAATTTTTAAGTTAAAATGAACTACTATCTCTGTTTTCGACACATTTGAATTATAAGTGAAATGCTAAATACCGCCCTCCATAATTATCACCACCGCCATCATATCAAGCAAACGGACAATTTTACCCTTACTTACATTTTTTCTTATTTTCTTTCTCTAACAATAATTCACAACCATTACAACCACTACCTTCGACACCGGATAGACACGACGAGGGCGAATGTCAAGGAAAAATGGATGGTGATAATGGTGGCTCGACGGAAAATGAACCGGGGACACCAACTTCCGATGGTTGAAATTTGAAATGTTGATTGGAGAAACTGGCTGATGACGGTCAACCAGAGTTAAAAACTAATTGTACGGTGACCGATTTTGGCCTCCGGCTACCGTGGACGATAACCAGATTTGGCCTCCGGTTACTGTGGACGGTAACCGATTGTGGCCTCCTGTTACCATACAATCAAATAAAAATTTAAAAAAAAAAACGAAAAAAATGGTGGCTTGTAGGCGTCGTTCGAAGTGCGCCTACGTTAAAGCATGTGTGAATATGCTTGGCACTCATAGGAAGTGGGAATTGACATTACGATTAGGGACAAGGAAAGTAGGGAGCCGCCAACAAGTTTTTAAGGAACTTGTAAACCGTTCACGGATCATTTAAGGCAACCACGAATAAAGGGACAACGATAGGCAACAACGATTGACCCGTGAAAGTTACACCCCATTCATAATCCATGAGACTACTAACTCCATATGGTTCGGAACCACGAAAAGAGGATCGGGGATGATGGTACGAAGTGAGTCATGGAGTCACATTCGCCCGTATTGTCCTCTACTCGATTCTTATAGTGAAAAGTGATTCTTGCGATCTCAAAGGCATACAAACAAAATATTCAATTTGCTCCAAACTATTATTAAGCTAAATTGGTTGAATATTAATGCAACATATAATTCTAAAATATTTATGATCACTTGATTAAACAACAAGATTAAAAAGGAATCTAAACCGATTGTCCAAATTATCTTATTAGGCGTGATTTTCAATTACATATTCCCTTTAAACATGCAATATGCATGGTGATCATAATAATAGAAGAATAAACATTAATATTGGAAGCAATTTAACAATAATATCTTGAGTCAAATCAAGTAATAATAATAATAACCATAATCATGATATTAGCAATATTAAAATAAAATAAGAGTAATTAAGTGAATCAATTACTCACTTTTCGCACTTCTTTATATTGCTACATCATGAATAAATTGTTAGTAACTTCAATAAAAAAAATATAAAGTAAATGAAAATTAAATTAAATTAAATAAAAAGTAGAGTTGATTTGGTCCAAACCCTCAGTTATTTGTATCTTTCACGCCTTGGTTTAAGGACGGAACCTCGGGTTAAGTATAGACTCCTTGGAGCGCTTAGGGGAATTATTATGGAAGAATAAGGAGGCTAGAAATTAGGTTAAAAAGGGAGAATAGAATGATTTTTGGTGTAAGGTGAGAGAAGATGATTATTGGTGCCCCTAACTGCAGAAAGGGGGGTCCTATTTATAGGGAAAATGAGCAGAGGGAACACGCGGAATCCTAAAAAGATAAAAACCCTAAAAATAACACCGTTTCACGGCAAAGAGCACCGTGACACGGTGCCAGGCACCGCCAGACGGGGGAAGGTCCCGTGACACGAGGGAAAACTGAGTGACGCGGGAAATAATTAAGTTACGGGAAGTGAAAACGCGTTTAGGGATTACGCGGAGAAAACACGGAGCAATCCCGTGTCACGGGATGTGCACCGTGACACGGGAAGAAATGTCGTGAAACGGCATTTTCCATCGTGGCACAGTGCAGTATGTCGTGTCACGGTGTAAAAAGTACGCGGAAATTACACGGAATATCCCCGTGTCACGGAACGGGCACCGTGACACGGTGCAAAATCCCGTGACACGGTGGATTAAATGCGCAGAATTACACAAAAAGGGCACCGTGTCACGGGAATAAGCCCCGTGACACGTCAGCATTTGCCGCGTCGCGGCATTTTAGCTGCTGCGTGGTAATTTCAGTTTTTTTACCCATTTTTAAAATAATCATAACTTTTGATCTGTAACTCGGAATAAGGCATATAATATATCATTGGAAAGCTTATCAAGTCCAATTTCCAACCAAATTATAATCAAGTCAAAATAATTTGTAGATTTTAAGATATGGCTATTTTAGTGGAAGGATTTCGATTTTAGGCCGAGTTTAATTAGTGTTTTGCTCATATCTTTTTCGTTATAGCTCGGAATTGGGCTTATGATATATGGTTGGAAATCTTATTTAAAGGCCTATCCAAAAAAAATAATAATTTTATCAAAATTTTATATCCATAAGATCAGTTTCTCTCAGTTTTGCGATGTGGACACGAAAAGTGGAAAACGGGTTATGGTTTAGGGAAATGAGCTAGAAATTGGATTGATTCATGAAATATATTGGATAGAACATGGATTTAAGCACTCCAAAGATTAAATAATCAACTCTACCAATAATGGCGGTGAAAGGTATTCGTCAAGGGGTTTGGTTTTGGGGAGACATTTTTAGGTGTCTACATGGCTGGTAATCGGAGGTGAAAACCGGTTACCGGCTGCGGTCAACCGGATGTGGTCGCCTGTTACCATTTACTGGCAACCGATTTTCATCTCCTACACCAGCCAACAGAGTTTTTAAAAAAAAATGAAAAATCGCAAAACATACCTTTTTCCACCCATTATGTCGCTGCTGCTGCCTAAGGACACGTCGCCGCCGCCGTCGTGCCACCTCTTTTTCCTGAGGTCGTCGCGCCGCCTCTGCTGCCTGAGTTTGCACGCGCCGAGAGCTTCCCGGTAAACCAAAAAAAGGTTGTGTGGAAAAAGATGGGTGGTGGGGTGTTTCTGGAGAGGAAAAAATGGAGGAAAATGGGTTAGGATTTAGTAAGGACAGGATTGGCATTTTACTTCAAATGATGGCGATTTTGATAAATTTGGAGGGCGGTATTTAACACCCCCCAATATAATTGTAATAGTATATCTTTATGTGTGTTAAGTTTGACCTTGTTAATTATCTTGAAACAAATAAACTAGTTCATTAATGCAGGAGCAAAGTGTTCCAAAATGTGCATATAAGAAAATTTTTGACGGATAATGATTAAGCCACACTTGTTCTACATCAAAAGACACTAACTTAGGCCTTGTTTAGTTCGCCTTTTATTTACTTATCTGATCTTAATTATCTGCTCTGATCTGATCTGTTCTAGTAAGATCTGATCTGAATGTCATATTTGACCAAACTTTAACTTTAAATGTACTATAACCTGTACGGAAAAAATATATCAAGTGGGGTTTTGTTAAAATCGTCTAATGTGTATTTTATTAATATATGTGATTTTCAGAATTGTTTTCATCATGAAATTAGAGATATTTAGCGATAAAAAACTACACATAAAACTCTGATCTAATCTGAACTTATTTTTTGATCTGATCTGAACTTATTTTTTCTGATCTGATATGATCTAAACTTTTTTTTTTCAAATAAGTAAAAATAAGGTGAACTAAACAAGGCCTTAGTGAGGTGATGTACAACTATGTTACCCTCCCTTTCAACATGAGATCAAGGAAGCGAATTAAAATTACAATTAATGTACATAATATTTTCTATGACACTATCAAATTATGAAAAACTGATGATAGTCCTTTGCATTATTTATGCAATCCACTTACTTTCAATTAAATACTTCACAACTAGTGTGTGGTCCGGGCAATATCTCGCGTTGTTACTTTGAATAATTGTAATTAAATAGAAATGTTCATGCATTATTATTGATTCATTTATAAAAAAAAATTCATAAAACATTTGAATAAATTATTTATGGAACAGTTATTGACTAATTTTATAATCCTTCAAATATAATTTATAATATAATGAAAATAAATACATAATTATTATTAAAATGATCAGATAACAAACTAATATTAATTTATAACCATAGTTAATAATTTTTCTTGTATGCATTCTCGACGAGCATTATTAGCAAATAATAGAATCGATTTTTGTAAGAATTGCAATTATATATATATATATATATGAGCCAAGTATAAACTTATGATTAATCGAGATGAGATGATAAGACTTCGAATGCATATTTTTTTGCTTGTGAGCTCAAATCTCATGATAGACATTTTTCATTAGAAATATGCATATAGTTGAAAAAAGACATGGCGAGGGTGCCATGTGAATAATTATAGATTAAGGAAAGTACAGTCAAATGGGGTCTTATTAGATTCGTTTCAATTTATAGGGTTGCCCAAAATGATTATCCAATGTGTTTCAATCCGGAAAATTAAATAAAATTTCTATCTGAATTCAAAACGAAAATCTCATCCTATTCGATCTTTATAAACTGTATTGGATATTTTTTAAAAAGATATTTTGGATATCCGATTTTTTTTAAAAAAATAGATGGTTATCCAATATTTTAATTTTAAAAAATTAAAATTAGATTTTTGAAAATTTTCAATTTGAATCAAATCAAATTTTTGAAAAAATTCAATTTAAATAGATCCAAATCTGATTCAACCCCCCCCCCCCCCAAAAAGATTGGATATTCGAAATTTCAAAATATATTAATCAAATCATGAATTAGGGTAATCGATTTGGATCTGTAATGCCCCGTATTTTTGAAACGTATTTCTAATTAATTAATTTATTAGTATTCTCTTAAAAGGGTATTTTACTAATTTATTTTACTATTTGGATTTTGGAGCCAAAATTATAATTGAATTTTGGCGCAAAAAGTATTTTAAAACTCAATTATTATTTTTGGATTTTGGATAAGATTTATAATCCATTTATTTATTTTAAAAACCAGATTATTTATATATATTTTGGATATTTTAATTAAAAAAAATTACATTTTCTTATTTAATTTAAAAGGGCTGAATTTCCCTAATTAATTAGCTAAGATATTCGGATTTTCTAAGTAGAAAATCTTATTTTTCTTAGTTAAATTAATTAGTGAATAATTGGTATTTTCCTAATTAATTATTTTATACAAAATATATTATTTACACAATAATTTTTAAGCCTAAAATCTAGCAAAATAATTTCCAAAATACTAATATGGTCCAAAAATTTGGAGCTATGGAAGCTCAAAATTTTCGTCCACTTTGGTTGGATTTTGGGTGATTTACTTTGATAAATTGTATTTTTAATTTTCTCCTTAAAATCTCTTATTTTCCTTAATTTTATTTTTCATCTCACAAAGATTTAATCATCTTATTTTCCTACCTTATTTCATCTTTAAGTAAAAATGACAGAACAAAAAGCTGAAGCAAATCAAAACAATGAAATCTTCAAGTCTAACTACAATGGACACTTACAATTACATGGCTACAGAGGCTGGAGGAGAACATAATGTAGGTCATAGTGTTGTAGATCACCTGAATTTCTGCTCAAGGTTAAGAATGGAACAAATTGAGGCTGAAGATGCTCAAACTTTAGTGAACATTTTAAATCAGGAACAATCAGAGAATCCAAACTTTTTTTTAGAGTGAAGTTTAACAAGGAAGAATTTCCAATATCTTTTGGAGAGATTCAATGATGCTAGAAGACTATAGGATATATGGAGATGTGCTTGTCTTTGATACAACATACAGAACCAACAGATATAATCTTATATGTGCTCCATTTGTTGGAATAAATAATCACTAGCATAATTGTATGTTTGCATGTGCTTTTATTGGGGATGAAAAAACAGATTCATTTGTGTGGCTACTAGAAACCTTCTTGAAAGCTATGGAGAATAGAACACCAACTTCAATATTCACTGATCAGGACCAAGCAATGGCAAATGCAATTGAGCAGGTAAAAGATTTATATTGACATTTTATAGATTTTAAACTCTGACAATAATGTTTTCCTTTTTCCCATAAAGTTACCCTTTTAACTGCATAAAGTTACCCTTTTAACAGCATAAAGTGACCCTTTTAATAGCATAAAGTGACCCCTTTATTTTCAATGTAGGTGCTTCCTAATACAAGGTATAGACTTTGTATCTGGAATTTGGAACAAAATGTCATAATTAGATTTAGAGCTCTTAAAAAAGACAAAGAATTCAAGTATGCATTCAACCAGTGCTTAAAGATGTGTGTGACAGAACAAGAATTTGAAGCAAAATAGCAGGCAATGATGCAGAAATATGAGTTGACAGCACACTCTTGGTACCAAAGAGTGTACGAGTTGAAAGAGAAATGGTGTCCTGCCCTTAGTAAAGATTTCTTTTCAGCAGGAATCTTATCGTCACAAAGGAGTGAAAGCACTAATCATGCAATAGGATTCAGAGCAAGTAAAGCAACTACCTTGACATAATTTTATACCATATTTAAAAAGACAACCAATCGTTGGTGAAGCACAGAGAAATATGATGAGTTTACCTGTAGCAAGTCAATAGCATTCACTTCATTGCCACTGTTTGGAATGCTAAAGCATGCTGCACAGGTAAAAAGTTAACTGATAAGTACATAAATTACACATAAATTATAGCAGTTTAAATGTAGCTAAATGATTTTGGTGAACATGTTTTCACTTTGTCACTCTTTAGAGATTTTGAAGAGGAGTTTGGATACTCTATGGAAACAACTGTTCAAATGATAGGAAGAAATGAAGAATGTCTACTTTATCAGGTAGCCTTGGAAGACAAGCCATGGTTTGCACATCAAGTAAACTATATACATGAGAGCCAGAGTGTATGGTGTACTTGCAAAATTTTTGAAGCATCTGGATGGTTATGTTATCATTGCATCAGAATTCTACACTTGCATTCAGTAACAAGAATACCAGACAAGTATGTTTCAAAAAGATGGACTAAGTTTGCAAAAACAGAGGCATGGGATAGGTTGAAGAATCAGGATCCTACACAGAAATATATTCCATGGAGACAATCACTAGTGGAAAAAAGGTTATTCGTAACGGGCAAAAACAGTCTATCCGTAACGGGCGGCGGCCGTTACGTATGCTGCCGTTACGGATAGGCAATGTTATTTGTAACGGGCAGGTGAAATGTCAGTTGCCCGTTACAAATAAGTAGATATTCGTAACGGGCAGGTGAAATGTCCGTTACGAATAACCACTTATTTGTAACGGACAATTACAATGCCCGTTACAAATAACCCCTTATTTGTAACGGACAATTACAATGCCCGTTACAAATAACCCCTTATTTGTAACGGACAATTACAATGCCCGTTACAAATAAGGGGTTATTTGTAACGGACAATTACAATGTCCGTTACAAATAACCCCTTATTTGTAACGGACAAGTACAATGTTCGTTACGAATAACTAGTTATTTGTAACGGGCATTTATGTTGCCCGTTACAAATAATGTCTAAAAAAGGCAAAATTTTAGGGGTATTTGTAACAGGCACATTAAAGGTGCCAGTTACAAATACCCCTATTTTTATCCATTCACCATCTATAAATTAACTATAATAACATATACCAAATCCAATCTTTACATATTACCAAAGACCAAATCCAATTTTACATATTATCAAGCACTAAATACAATTTTACATCTCAATAATATTGTAAAAAAAAAAAGTAAATAAAGAGAAACATCAGCATCCAAGAGAAGGGAGTAATCGCAGCTCCAACTGCAGCAACAACCATAACCATTGAAGCAACGATAGCGCGCAGCTGCATCATCGTAGAAAAAACCATATTTTAAATTTTTTTTAAAAAAAAAAAAAAAAGAAAAAACGATTAGGTATCAACGTGTAAGCAGGATACAATCAGGTCAGAACAAAGTCACCTGGGAATCATCCGCAAGACCATGTCTGTACCAGCAAGGCATCCAATTTTTCAACTGAATTTCGAGCTGGCCGCTGAACGAGAGGCGCAGGCTTACCATCTGTAACAACAAGATATTGAAGCAATCCTGTTTCAGTATACAATCTATGCCAAAAGAAAACTGAGCAGATAAATAGTAATGCACCAAGTCATGTCAACCATAAATTTCAACCACAACACATTTCAAGCTGCTAATTGTTCTTTTAAACAAAGTCACTCAAAGAGAGCTATAATGTCAAACAACCTAACAGTGACAGAAAAAGGCCAACCTCTTAGGAATCTCTAGATTAAAAAGAATGGAAAGGACAAAATTACTTTTTAGATCTCTAATTCCAACTTTAATATTTGTTACACATTTCTCAACATTTTATTCATGACTATTTATACGATCCTACATTGAAAAAAGCAAGTCTAATTACTAGTTCTGGACGAAGACATTGACCCCAATTATCATGAAATAACAGCCAGCTATAGCAACAATGTTTCACCATAACAACTTAAATGCAGTTTCTTGGTCACATATTTTCTGCCCTGTCACTATTTTGGTGAGAGTGAGGAGTGCAAATGCTGCACAAACTACCTGCATTATTTGTTTAAGTCCAAAAAGTAAGGGATACCAGAAGCTAAGCCCAAGACTAATCAATTCCATACCAAGTCAGCTCTCAATTTGATGCAAGACAGTAGAATTTGGAGTATAAGTGTATAACCTTATAAATCATTGCAAAATAGCAAAGCAGAGATGAACCATGCCCCTCCTATAAACATTATTTTAGTCACACCAAAACTATCAAACTAAGATCTTGCTAGAGTAACAAACATAAGAACCAAAGGCTTTTAAGATATCTACAAGGATACCACTTTAAATCAGTTCATATAAATTAATATGGGAATATAAGTCACATTAAAAAAATTCATACTAAAAACATTCCTCAAACAAAAAAAAAAATCAATATAATACTTCTATACAGCAGTTTACAATCAGTAAAATCCACAATAATCAAATTCCATTTCATAAGCACATTTTGTAGGGTCTCAAGTATAAATCAAGTTTTATATTTATTCAACTCATTTCGCAGATTAGCAAGCAACTATAAATCTATAATATAGTACTCATCAACGCTCAGCTACATAAAAACCATTAAATTTCATAGCTATGTAATTTCATTCATAAATTCAATGAACAAAAACAAGGTTTAACTTATTATATACCTTCTGGCAGCAAGACCTCCGAGAAGCTTGTAACGAAGAAGCTTGTAACGAAGAGAATCGCACTGAGCGATAATGGAATTAAATTTCTTCTACACAATTGAACTCAGCTCCCTAATCTTTCTTCCCTTTTCACCTAATCAACTCCAAACAATAAAGTATCAAAATGAAAATCGCAAAAATTGAAAAAAAATAAAAAAATAAAAAGCATCAAGTCAAATAAAAAATCGAAGAAAAGGGGAAACTACCAAGAACATTTTGGGTATGACTAGCCTTAATGATCAGTACACAGACGTCCCTAACGTTAACACCAACACCCAACATATGACATGAACCTAAATTAAACTATCAGGGTCACTGTATATATTCAGCAATCTCTATAAGATTAAAATGATGCATACATTCAACAATCTTAATAAGATTAAAACGCAACATACATCCAGCAAACTTAATAGGATTAAAATGTAGCATATGTTATAGGATTAAAATGTAGCATACGTTATAGGATTAACATGTAGCATATATTCAGCAACAATAAAATGCAGGCATTTATTCAGCAATCTATCTTTATAATATTTAACATGCAGAACTTGATACAAAAATACTTAACATATCAATTGCACAAATCCTGAAATAAAATCAAGTAAAAACCCTAAAATTATAATAATCAAGTACTAAAAAAACTAATCTAAACTCCTGTCCACACCATTATATTCAGTTTACTCATCAATAATTTAGATCGATAACAGGACATAAATCAAGGAAACAAGCCATAATAACATAGACACATAAAGATACATAGCATCACAAACATGAATTTCAGAAAAGTAAAAAAATAACAAAATATCAAAGATCTCTAATGAAACTTCATTGAGTTAAGCGGCCGATGATTTCTACGACCAAATTAAACGGCCTTCAAACCACCATCATCACCTAAAATTTGTTTGAGTATAGAATCCAAATTATTCTAGCAAAATAAACTACTTGTTTGAGTATAGGATGTAAATTGGGCTAATTACAAGCTCGTTTTCAGAGGCACACCAACTGTCATTTTGTAGAATCCCAAGTATAAATCAAGTTAAATAATTATTCAATACATTTTGCAAATTAACAATCAACTACTTAGGAATAAACAACCAATTCATATTAAAATCAGAAAAACAAACTAGAATTTCAATCTTCGCAACAATTAAACCTCAATTCACAACAAAATAATCACCAAAATTAAATAATCCATCAGCCAAAACCGATAAAATCATCGATCAACTAATTCCATAAACAGATCGAAACACCAACAAGAAATGAATCATCCAAAATACGATAAATTAAAAGACGAAATTTAAGATCTGTAACTAACTTAACCCTAATTCATCAAACAAAAAAATTTTAAAAAAATCGACATGACTGCAAGAAAAAGAGGAGAGGAAAAGAGGCGAAACCCGAGGAGGAGTATCGCTGCCGCCGCTTTGCAGAGATCTAGCGGATAATCGCCTTATCGATGCCGGCTTTCTACAAAATCGCCTTATCGGTGCCGGATAATCGCAAATTAAACCTCTTCTACAAAATCGAGCTCAAATCCTTAATCCTTCTTCCCTTCTCACCTAATCAACCCCAAACAATAAAATAACAAAATCAAATCGAAAAAACACACAAAAAAATAAATCAAATCAAATCAAAAATCAGAAAAGGGGAAATTGAAGGAAGGTTCATCAATGGAGCAAGGAGAAAGAAAATGGAGGTAAGGAGAAGTGGAAGAGAAAGTTAAGTGAGAAACAATATCCATTAAAAGAAGCAGAATCCGAGAAGAGAGAAAGAGAGAGGGTAAGAGAGAGGAGAGAGAGTATGAGACGGTTGCTAGAAAAGGTGAAGTGAAAAAAAGTAGTTAGGCGCCTTTAGGGTTTTTTAACATCTAAGTAATAAACCTATTCGTATCGGGCAATTGGTGCACGTTACGAATCCCAACTTATTTGTAACGGGCAAAACGCTGCCCGTTACGAATAATTTGATTTTTGTAACGGACATCATTTTTCCCGTTACGAATACTCTTTTCCGTACCACTATGCTATTTTAATGTAACGGACAGTTATTTTGCCCGTTACAAATAGGTTTATTGTAACTGGCAAACTACTGCCCGTTACAAATAGGCTGTTACAAATTTTTCCACTAGTGAATGATAAGGAAATTCTACAATCTAATCTCAAAGAGTTAAGAAAATGAAGAGACAAGAGAATTTATGGAAGAAAGCTTCATAAACAAACTTAAAATGGTGGAAGACTTACTTGCTAGTGCTGCTCAGAGAGAAAGTGCAGAAGCTGCTTCTAATATTCCTGATGTGGCAGACAACAATCACAGCAATAACGATGTTTCTTTGGCATCGAGTACAAGCACAAGTGTACCAACAATACTTGATCCAAAAAGGGCTGTAACAAAAGGAAGAAGCAAGAGAGCAAAAGGAGGTCTTGAAAAACGCAAGAGAAAAAGAAAACCAGCACTGCCACCTCCACATTCAGAATTTGGATCTAAAACACCTAATTTGAGACTCTTTTAGGAACTTTTGTAGATCATTTTTTTTTAAAAATTAATGTACTTTGTATTGTATAATTACTGTTTTGAGTTCATTTAATTTGAACGATTCACCAACAAAATGGAGCATGTGATACATGACAAAGACCCCACAGTCCAAATTGTCAACTTTATCTTTTCTCCATTCCAACTCAACAACTTCAAACCCATAAGAAGGTAGCTGAAAACTCTTTGGATGATTTCTTTTACCAAGAAAAGCACCCATTGGAACACACTGACATAAAATATAAAAGTTTAGAATACATTAAAATCAAAAAAGTTAAAATAGAAACAATGAATCATCAGAAACATAACAAAAAATGGCGAATTGAGGAAGAAACAAGAAAGAGAAAGTAGTTTGCTGAATAATGAAGAAGAAAGAGAAAATTTTGCTTTTTTGTTAAATTTGAAAAACCTGTCGCACACGTGTGAGTAAAAAAGGAAACAATATTTGTTTCCTTTAAGCAGCTGATTTACACTAAATTAGTGTAAATCCGCCTTTAATGAACATTTGTGTAATATAATTTACATATACCTTAACTTTTATACTTTATTATATACATATATGATATATCATGCAAGTTTCATGTTTACAGATAAAGTATAGTTGTTTTTTCTGCTCTAAATTTGATGTGCGTATGTTTCATCATTTTATGATTCATTGATTTATATTTCAATTTGTTTGTGTAAATAATCAATAATTATTTGGTTTTTTTTCCACTTTTCCTAATAACACATACTACCCCAAAAAACTACCTATTTAATTATGTTATCTAATAAATTTCTTTTTAGAAACACCAATGTTACAAGGAATCCATATTATAACTGCACATTTTTTCCCTTAAATTATGTGCCCTTCAATTTTTTAATTTCACCATAAGTTCCACTACTTTGATCTTTTTTTTTTATTTTTTATTTTTAATTTCATACATTCCTATTAATAATTTAAAATGTAACATTTTATTACCTCAAAATTTAAAAAAAATGTACATCATAGTTTTCTTTTCTTTTTAGTTATATTTTTTAATTTTACTTTTTAATATTTTATTTTTAATTTTAAAATCTCATTAATAGTTATAACCCATCCATTAGCACGAGTGCATACTAGTGGAGTAGTGGTCTATAAAGATTGTGTGAATGGTTAAAAAGTCCAAATGGAAAAGTCCCTTTTTTGGAGATTGTAAATTTGTAAGATTGTTATTTACTTTTGGTAATTTCAGCTAATTAAAAAAAAATATTGTAAAAGGAGCAATAATAGTTTTGATCATTCTCCACAACAGTGACTCCGTCTCCCTGAAACCCCAAGTAACATTATCAATCTTCATCTTTCAAACACAACCAACTCCTTCTCTCTCCTCAGCTGACCTGTTTCCGCCCAATTCACAGAGAAAATGATAGTCGAAGGAATCGAAGACGAAGAAAAATGGCTTGCAGAAGGAATCGCCGCTGTTCAACAGAACGCCTTCTTCATGCTTCGTGCTGTGGTAATTTCCTCGCTTTTCTACTGGATCAGATTCAAAGCATTTCAATTTTTCTTCTTAATTTTGTTTAATTTTGGTTCTAAATTCAATTTTAGGATTCAGATAATCTCAGAGAAGCTCTCAAGTACTCCGCTCAAATGCTTTCGGAGCTCCGAACCTCTAAACTTTCTCCTCACAAGTATTTCGAACTCTGTGAGTAATCTATTGTTTGTATGAATTTTTTTAATTTTTTTTAATTTTTTCTGATTTTTTAAATTGTGTTTTTGGAAGATATGCGTGCTTTCGACGAATTGAGGAAGCTGGAAATGTTCTTCAAAGATGAGAGCAGGCATGGTCTTTCAGTTTCTGATCTCTATGAACTTGTTCAGCATGCTGGCAATGTGTTACCGAGGCTGTAAGTCTTAATCTATGAACACATTTTTCGTAATTGTGTATTGAATTTTGCTATTGGAGAAATGCTATTGAGATTTTAACAATTATACGGTTGATCATGGAGTGAATTTGATTTGACTTTCAAATTTTCGCCGTCTTTTGATGCATTAGGATGATGTAGTTACTGATTGTTCAAATCCTGAATTATTGATATTCAAACTCTAGAGAGATATTGAAACTGAGAATGAGTGAAATGAAACAAAGTTAGTAATTAAGGGTTCGTTTGGCATCATTGTAGTTTTCTGTTTTTTGGTTTTTTGTTTTTTTAAATCATATGATATATATCATGTAATGAATAAAAAATTAGTCAAATTTATTAAAATTATGATAATTTTGAAAACTGACAACCAAAAAGTGGAAACACCTTTTTCTTGTTTCCTATTTTTGGTTTTTAGTTTTCAAAAAAACAGAAAACTGAAAACAAAAAACAATGCCAAACAAACCCTAAGTTGAAGAATGTTTTATGCTGCGGTTTTCGAAACTAGCCAGTTCTATATGAGGTAAATTTATCTTCGTGTTTAGATTGGCGGAATTGTATTTATGTGCTTCTGTTAACAGTCTTTTGGCTTGTTTTACATGACACAATGCTTATCAATGTGATGGTTTTAAGCTGTTTATATCTAACATAGGCAGTGTGTACATGTTTTCTAATGTTCTGTCATTCTTGTAGAGGTTGTCATGTTATTTTTGAAGCATTGCCTTGTACGCCAAGCAGTATATTATTATGCTATCAATTTAGAAACTTTCTACATTTGATTTGTGTTTCTAATAATAATAAAAAAAAAACTCAGTAAGTTTCTTTGTCTTTGTAATGGTGTGGTTTCTTTGAACTAATTTGAAGAAACTATTCACTTGTTTCTAGTGAAGAGTGGGCAACTTTCTCAAATTCTTTGAATTGAAATTTAAACCCAGCTGTACTGCTCTAAGTGCTTATATCAGGTTGGGTTCTTCGAACTAAATTTAAAAATTAAATTCCATAGTGATGACGGTTTAAGCTGGGCTGCTTTAAGTGCTTATTTCAGTCTCTAGCTTGTGCTTTATACAATTGCTGACCATTGCATTGGAAACTTTAGCTGCATATTGACATTTACACTGATGCTCGATTAGAATTTATTTTGTTTTCTATTTTTGTTTTAATGTTGGAGTAATATTGGGACTTTGATTTCAAATTACCAGGTACCTGCTTTGTACTGTGGGTTCTGTTTACCTCAAATCGAACGAGGCTTCCTGTAAAGATCTTCTGAAAGACCTTGTTGAGATGTGTCGTTCTGTTCAACATCCTATTCGTGGTCTTTTCTTGAGGAGCTACCTTTGTCAAGTCACAAGAGACAAGCTTCCTGATATTGGTTCTGAGAATGAAGGGTTGGGTGTCTGTTTACTCTCTTGTTTAAATACGATATATTTGCAAACAGCTTGTTCTTTTAAGGAGGTAGCTTTGCCTGAGAATGATGAAGTAGATAATATGTTTTTGTAAATTAGTTTCTTGAGAACCTTTGTTTGTCAAGCCACTAGAGACAATTTTCTAGTCTTATCATACACCCATGACTAATTCTGCATGTTTCTCAAACAGCTACACAGTAGTAGAATAATCATTAATTTTCTTAATACTTGTATTGTGAAGCTGTCTATGGATCACTAGTGTGCTAAGGAGGAACATGATTTTGATTTTACTTCATCTTTGGATGAATAATTGACTGTGTCATCTTTTGATTTTGTTGTCTCATCAACTCTGTAGCAAGGCCTTTTATCCACCTCTTCCTCTTATTTGCTATAATCCCTCCTGTAGATCCAACAGTGGGCTGACCTATGAGTCTGTCTTCACCCTTTTTTTTTTTTTTTTTTTTTTGATTACTGGAAACTACTTTAACTCTCACATATTTTATTTCAGAGTTGGAGATTCAGTGATGGATGCTGTGGATTTTGTGCTGCAAAACTTCACAGAGATGAATAAACTTTGGGTTCGTTTGCAGCATCAGGTTTGTTTATCCATGACTGCATATGCTAGTATTATGCTATGTGTGGCACCATTGTACTTGCATGCCATAAAGGTAAGAATGTCTCATAAGGACATGATGTTTGGCCATGCAGGTGTTTTGGTGCTTCTAAATGATTCATGTTCTTTCATGATCCTGAGTTGAGCACTTCAATCAAGCTTTCTGGTCTGCAGGGGTCTGCTCGGGTAAAAGAGAAACGAGAAAAGGAGAGGAATGAGCTTCGTGATCTTGTAATCTCATTTTCCTGAAGTGAGTTCTTCTTGGATTTAGTACTATGTACCTCAGCTATTGATGCGATTTTTTTTTACCTGATAATTGACTAGGTTGGGAAGAATTTGCATATACTAAGTCAAATAGAGGGTGTTGATCTTGAATTGTACAGAGATACTGTTCTGCCCAGAATCCTAGAGCAGGTTAGAACATAGTGTTCTCCTTAATTGTCATTTTCTATAATGCTATATTAGCTATCCTCTCAAATTTTCTGTACAAATCATGTTATAGGTTGTAAATTCTAAAGATGAGCTTGCACAACATTACTTGATGGACTGTATAATCCAAGTTTTTCCGGATGAGTATCACTTGCAAACGCTTGACGTATTATTAGCTGCTTGTCCTCAACTCCAGGTAGTAATTTAATATGCCTGCCCAATATAGTTTATTCTGATCCTCATTCCCTATCCCCAGGATGTGTTCTATTGTTCTGTATCTGGAAGCACACTTTGTTCTTTTTGTGTAATTTGTTTTGCTTGTTTGGAACAATCCTCAACGAATTAACATTTCATCTTCAACTAAAACCAAGGAAAGATGGCTAAGGCCTTATGCTTTGAAGGTTTTTAAGACCTTTGGCTTGGAAACATCTAGATACAAGTCATAAAACTCATTCAAGTAATTTATACTCCAGAGCAGGAGAGAAAAGTAACAATATCAAAACAACAGTAACGATTTAAGGTTTTTTTTTTTAGAAATAGGTCCAAGTAAGATGCAGCAAACAGACCTAGCAGTCACTCAAGAGGCTGGGTTGAAGACAGGGATGCTCATGAATAATTCCTGATATATTATTGTTTTTCAATATATTCAAAAGTTACATTCTTCTTCATGGAAGACAAAGAGAACTTCCTGGAAAACTTTTTACACACTAGTTCCAAGCTCAAGAAAACTATACTACCATCATTGTTTGGAGTGTAAACTCTGTTCTAACCTCAAATGTCTTCCTTGTTAAATCTTGCTGGCCCAAACACTTTTAAGTGAAGTTTGTTGACTTCTTTGTCTAGGGCCTAGGGGTGTTTGAAGGGTTAAGGAATATGATTGAGATTTTGTTAATGTATTACATGATTTGAAAAAATGATAGTGGTTTCTTATTAGTTGCTTTCATTAAAGTTTCTATCTAAATGACACTTCAGCACTTCCTTACAAAGTGTTTCATTTTCAGCCAACAGTTGACATCAAAACTGTGCTATCTCAGCTAATGGAGAGACTTTCAAACTATGCCGCATCAAGTATAGAAGTAAGTTATCACTGTCTTACCTCATTGTTTTTGATGCTGTCAGCTTGTTGACTATAAGTATTGTGCAGGTATTACCTGAATTCCTGCAAGTGGAAGCTTTTGCTAAATTAAACAATGCCATTGGAAAGGTAGACACTGAATTTTATTTCCTCATCCAGATGTACTGTGGTGTGGCTTTTTTTTTTTTTTTTTTTTTTTTTTTTTTTTTTTTTTTTTTGCATGTGTGCTTTATTTATTTACTTAGTCAAGTGATTTAATGTTTAAGTTGCTGCTACGAGCTGACTTGAGAAAAAGTGATAGGCTAGTAGAATGCTGCTTGCAATGTAACTAATAAGTCTATATGTTGATTGCAGTTGGAATATAATAATTTAGTGTTTTTGAAATACAAAGCACCTTTAGTGTTGTGACTAGAAAGCCTATTTTTTTTTTTTTTTTTTTTTTTTTTTTTTTTTTTTTTTTTTTTTTTTCTTTAAAAAAAACAAAAATTATTATTGCTACTTTTTATATGGTCAAGCTGACTTGTTTCCCCAGTCTTATCTTCTAGTGGTCTAGCAACTTTTAGAGGCATAAGTGACCCAGGATTGTGCAATGTGTGGCAGGAGGAATCCAACTATCCAAGTTTGCTTGATCTAGATAGCTGATGAGACACAAAAAGTGGATTGTGTCTTTAGGGTGGGTAGGCCAACAAATGACATCACTGCTCTGTGGGTGTATGGCAGAAATTGAGAATTGTTGGTTAGGGAAGATAGTGAGTGTTGCTGGCACTAGGGAAGGATTGAAGGGGTATCAGGTTTGGGTGTTGGTGCTCGTGGGTTTGGGGCCAAGAAAGGCGAGATAGAGAGACTGGGACTGATGGGATTTTTCCTTCTTGGTGGATGAGAGAAAAGGCTAACTAGTGGTCGCTAGTGAAGCTTGTGTGGCGCTGGCCGTGCTACATGTCAAGGAATTGAGAGGTGGGGATAAAAGTTGTTATGAATTTGAATTTTTGGGTACCTGATTGGTTTAAAATGAGTAACGTCATCCAAGTATAGGGTTAATGCCCTTAATGGAAAAACAATGCCTAAGTAAGCTGCTTAAGACCAGCACATCACTTACTGAGTTACTGGCTACTACTGAGTTGCTCTGTTGATAGAGGCTTCACTTCATAGCAAAGTTTTTCTGAAACTTTTGATGCCATTTTGCTTAGAACTCTTAATATGTGAAATAAGGAACTTACTTTGAGGTGGAGCAAGATGGAGTATAAATTGGAGTAATGCTGAAAGTTTTCATGTTTGTTTTTCAACACCCCCCCCCCCCCTTTCTTTTCGGACTCCTTCCTTTGTTTTTCCTCACTCTATTTTTGTTGTTGGGTGGGACTTGGGAGGGAGTAAGGTAAGGATCAAGAATTGTTGGTCATTATAAGAACCTAGTCCTTCGGGATAACCTAGAAATATAATTTTGCTGCATGCTCTCTTCACATAAAAATTATATATGGGGGATGAAGGCACCAGAGTGAGTAGAGGTGGCCCTCGCCAACATAGATCTGGGAATTTCTTCCTACATACTAATGGAAGATTATGGACAGACTTTTACTAGGGTATCTAACAAGTTAGTCAGTGAATTCATAGAAGATCATTCTTTTAGGATAAATGTTGCTGACAATCCTTGGTACAACTCTCAGTACCATGTTGATGGACAATTGGACATCCTTTTTGGGGTATGTTAAACCTAAACCTGTAAAATTCTCTATCACTATGTTTGGTTAGCAATAGTGAAGGAAAGGGGGAAAGAGAAAGAGGGAAGAGAAAGGGAGGTAAGGTAGGGGAAAGAGAGCTCTTTCAAATGTCTCCAACAATTGAGGGGTCTGTTTTCCTTAAAGGGGGAAGAAAATGGATCCCTCCATGTCCTTTCCCTACCTTTCCTGATGCCCTATAAAAATATTGTTTATCTAGATAACTGACTATTTGTTAACGCTTGCTAAATATATTATGTTGCTCTTTTATACTACATGCCACTTTTGGTGTTTGGTACTTTCTCTCTTGGGCGTGTCTTACTTGAATTCATGTGCGCATCTAACAATACAGGCTCTACCCTTTGGAAAATCAAAAGCCCAGGGAACATATCTCTTATTGTTTTGATTTTTCTGCTCCTTTGCTTGGATTTTTCATAGGGTAAATTTGTGTGCTGAGGTGAAGGGCTTGGTTTAGAATGGTAGCTTACTTTTTTGTTTTCATCTTCTCTCTTTCCTTCACATCTTTCATTGTGTAATTTTATTTCTTTCGTGGGGTTGTCTTTCATCACAATCTGGATTCATAATGCTGTTGTAAAGGTTCTCTATTTATTTTACTTCAAAGTATCTTGAAAATTTGATATACTGCGTGTATTATTTCACTTTCAGATTATCGAGGCGCAGATTGACATGCCAATTGTTGGGGCCATCACTCTATACACCTCTCTTCTTATGTTCACTCTCCGTGTTCACCCTGATCGCCTGGATTACGTGGATCTAGTTCTGGTATGTTTTGTATGTTTAAACAAAGAAACCTTTTGTTTTCTTCGGAGTAACTGATTGTGCTTGTGCCAATGTAATATGCATTCATAATTTTCTGGTTATTGATTTAATGCATAGGCCATTAGGCCCTTAGGTTTGCATTTTGATGTTCCCACTTGAAATGTATCATACTTCCTCTGTTCCACAAATATTGCAACAAGGATGAAATTATGCATCCCAAAGCACATTTTATATGTTAAATATCTGTAATTGTATAAGAGTAAAAATTATAAAAAGGTGATATTGTGAAAGTATTTTATGAGACGAATCTAACAAGACCCCACATTACTATATTTTACTTTACATATAAATCATAATTTAAGCTTGGTTTTAAAAAGCGCGCCTCACTCCCAGGGAAATGGGCTTTAGCTAGGCGAGGCTCAGTCACCTACGGAAGGCGCTCGCCTCGTGCGCCTCAACGTGCCTTTGGTAAGGCGTGCCTTTGCGCCTCAAGGAAAATAACTAAGATTTAAGCTATAAATTGAAGAATGATGGACATTTTTTTCAAATTCAGACTACCTTAGCTTTAAATATATCATTATTTAATTTATTATGAATCTTTTTAATTGGTATTAAGTACTATCAAAGTAAAAATAATTTGAAATAAATATATAAATACATGCGCCTTGCATACAAAAGGCGCGCGCCTTGCGCCTTGCGCCTCGCACCTAGGCTACAAGGACCATTTGTGCCTTGGTGAGCCTTGCGCCTTTTAAAACTAAGAATTTAAGGTTAAACAAACATGATGAATAGTACAAAAGTCCAGTTGTTGCAATCTTTCTAGAACGGAGGAAGTAGAATTTAAAAAGTCTGACTTTTGAAGTATTACTTGCTTAACTCATGATCTGATGTATGTCCTCCATTTCAGTTTAGTTGACACATTTCCTTGGGCACGTTTGCCAACACATGATATCAAACATCATATCTTTGATTATTAATAAGAAAAAAAAAATATAAAGAGATAATATTTGGAAAGATACATTGGAATGAATGTAGAACTATCCCTGTTTTTTGTCAAGTATGAATCACAAAAGAAAATCAAAGTTATGTGAATACTTTCCCGAGTCTACTTATCAACTAATATGAAACAGAAGAAGTAGCTTTAAGTCAACAGCTAATCTAGAATTCCGTCAACAACATGTAATAGACTCATGCTTGCTGGACTATCAGACACACCATTAATGCAGAATACAAAGGGAAAAGATCGAATCTTTGATTGAAAATGTTGAAAAGCAGGGATTTGTACAAGCTGGCTACTTTAGGATGCCAATCTCTATTAGTGACTTTAGGTCACCACTCTCAATATAATGACTTGAGGTCACCAGTCTTGAAATAGTAACTTGAGGTCATAACTCTCTAAGGATTTTCTCCAAAATTCTGCCTACTGTTTTCTTTTCCCTCCCTCTCAGTTTATACTAAGGAGAGTAAGGACTATTGTCCTAGTAAAGTAATGATATTAGACTACCTATATTGCCCCTCCTTAGTTTGGTCCATTACACTACATAAACACATTGGACCTCTTTGTGTGCAACTTTACTTTTGTTAATCAATCAGTGATCAATCTGATCGAGTTGTTTCTATGCAGGGTGCATGTGTCAGGAAACTTTCAGGGAAGCCAAAGCTTGAAGACAGCCGAGCAACGAAGCAGATTATTGCACTATTAAGTGCTCCACTGGACAAGTATAATGATGCAGTTACAGCACTTACACTTTCTAATTATCCCCGCATCATGGACTACCTTGATAATGACACCAACAAAATTATGGCAATGGTTATCATACAAAACATCTTAAAGAACTACACTTGCATTTCCACTGCTGACCAGGTATGATCCTCTGCTCTTCTCATCTATGATCAGTATAATTTCTAGATTTGAGGTTCATTCTTTTGCAGGTAGAGGCACTATTTGAGTTGATCAAGGGACTTATCAAAGATATAGATGGAATCTCAGTGGATGAGGTTAGATTTCTTTATCTCCCTATTTTTTCTTTCAGTAAAAGTATAAAATCACATATATCTAACTTGATAATCTTTACAAAGGTCTTGGGCATACGAGGTAACTCTAAACTGGCATCCACGCTTTCATTTGGTATTCAACCTAAACACCTGACTTGTGCACTATTGTTTTAAAACCAAACCTATGAGTGTACCTTTAATCATGTTCTATATCTGCTCCATAGTTGCGTACTGATCCAAATGTACCTGCTTTTTAAGGCTTCACTTTCTAGCTTGTTAAGGTGCTCTCAATCTAAAGATTACTTTCTTGTTTTTTGCACTTGGTAAACCATTGACTCACTCCTCATAACTTCTGCTAATTACATCAAGTTAAATTTAAACCTTGACATTCTAGAACAGTGTAGAAACTACAATTTTGAGGTTCAGTATACTAGCAATAGATGAGCAATATCCTCATCTGCAAGGTTAGTCTATTACAAAAACTAACTAGTGTACCAGTGAAATTTGGGCTGGTGACACCCATGCTCAATCAAATAGTCCAATCAATCTTTTCTCCACTGCATTTATTATTAGCCTCGTAGGTGATACCAGACATCTATGTTCTGAGCTGAAAATTTCTCATCAGGACTGATTTGTTGCACCCACTTATCAGAATTGGAATGAGAGATCTTAGTTGTATAAAATTCTTGTTTGACCTCTCAAATCCAGACGTCAGAAGGTTTAGCAGAGACCTGAATATGCTCTACAGAGGATCTGTGATATTCTTCATTACATAGAGTAGTCTTAATCAACTCTATTAATGCCTCATCTAAGCTACTTTATTTTGTCAAGCAGGATACAACTCCGTGTTTGATCTCCATCCTTGCTTACTTAGTATTATGAAAGACACTTATTGTTTAGATATTAATTGCTAAAATCCTTACGTAAATGTGTGTGCTGTGCAAGTTTTAGAATGGGAACATAAACTTTGTAAATAACTAAAGTTTTGAATAGAGGTACCCTCACAATGAATGTGAAAACACAGGTATCTATTAGGCATTTTATTGTAGACTGTAGAGGCTTTATTTTGAAAACTTTTTTCTTTTTAACCATAACTGTGATGACATTGAGATGTTGTGATATGAGAAGTTTTCCTGTTGAGATCAATTCTTTCATTACAAAAATATCTAGCAATAATCTATTGAATTTCTAAGCATTAAAACTTACCACTTGGTATCACTGATTCACTGCTCTGCCGTGCTGGTGACTTTATAAGCCAGTATCTTCTTATGTTCCTCATTATGAGCTCAGTTTTCCATTGGAACAAGTGATGACATGATCTTTACTTGGTCTACCAAAGAGATACATTCTGTAAGGGTGGGATTTTATCTTTGTTCTCTCAGCTTGGCAGAACCATGCTTAAATAGAAGAGCATTCATTACCCCTAATTGAGCAGTATTATCTCCAGATGAAGTTTGTAAATTCTTAAGCTTGAAAATATGTTCTTAGCCAAGTTTTTGTAGAATCAGTCAACAACAGTGTAAAATATGTAATTAGCCAAGTGTAAAAAAATCCCTCAAAAATTCCCAAGTTATCTTTTTTTTTTGGTTAACTTTGCCACAGGCATTGTCAAAATCAACAGAGTGTAGCTGCTCCAAGGCTTCATTAACCTCTACTTTTTGTGGAAACAAGTCAACAGCCATCTCATATGCTAAGGGGTTGTTTAGGGAGATAAGCAGAAAGGAAGGCACTTGAGAACTTTAATTGGAGTTAGGTTCTCAGGCAGTCCCCACTGTAAGCTTGTTATAAATAAATCCAGTTGTCGTTAATAGTGATTAAAAGCGGTTAAGACTTAAGAGTTGATGTTGGAGGCTATGGTGGTTGTGGTGGAAGCCATGGTGAATTTCGTATTGAGGCCAGGGATTATACCCCAAAGTTAGTATAGACAGAGTTGTCTGTTGGACGCTACAGAGGAAAGGGAATGAAATTAGTGAGCTAAACACTAGCTAAGAGAATCAGTCGATATATTCCCTTTTGTTTCATTATTCTCTCTCTCTCTCTCTCTCTCTCTCTCTCTCTCTCTATATATATATATATATATATATATATATATATATATATATATATATATATATATATATATATATATATATATATGTAATAATTAGGGCACCATTGATTTTTGGACAAAGTTACTTTTTCTCCTTATTTTAGGGTTTCATCAAATGGCTAATATATGTTTTTCTTTCTTACTTTTCTGCCAATAGTTAGATGAAGAGGATTTCAGCGAAGAACAGAATTCTGTTGCGCGTCTTATCCACATGCTATATAATGATGACCCTGATGAGATGTTAAAGGTAATAAGTTCTTCATGGTTATTCACTCTGCCCCTCCAGAAGAAAAAGTGAAATGTGGTTATCTTTTGTAGCAGCTGTCTTCTCAGGCTTCATTGAATTCAAGCTCACTATTCATCAAAAAGACTTCTCATAAATTCTGTTTTTTCTGTCAGATTATATGCACTGTGCAGAGACATATCATGACAGGAGGACAAAGGCGGTTACCCTTCACTGTTTCACCTCTTGTTTTTTCTGCACTCAAGGTTTTTATATATCTACTGTTTTGTTAATTTAGTTTAATATAGTTATATATAGTTTTTGATATATCTGTATTTCTGTGTGTTGAATCTGAAGGATTAATTGTTATGCCATTATAATATATATTTTATGATCAGTTGGTCAGGCGGTTACAAGGTCAAGACGGTGAGGCAGATGGGGAAGAGGCACCTGCTTCGCCTAAAAAAATATTCCGGTTAATGAATCAGGTATTTTTTAGTAGCAACAGTTATGTAAATCAAAGGGGAAGACTAGGGGAGGATGAAGGTGATCATGACAAAAAACTGTCATTACCTATAGTGAGGGTATTAACTATTAAGTCCTAGGCCAAAAAAAAAAAAAAAATATTAAAAAAAAAAATACACATTGGAACAGATGAGTAGAAAAAAGTAATACGAAGTATGTTTCTTTCTCCAACTTCAGTCGTCTCTCTTAATCATTTCATAATTGGCAGAACACAAATTAATATTTTTTGTAAAATAAAAAAGATTATAAATTTTGTGCAGCTGAAAAACAAGTAGGCCAGCATTTTTTTTTCCTTTTTTTTTTTTGGCATCTTATTTAGTGAATGCATATTATTTCATATCTAGAAAATTATTGTAATAAATACACAATAAAGGAATGATTTCCTACTTTTTGCATTACTGTCTTTTTGCCAGGATTTCTTACTTCATAATGGCAACGCTTTGGGTGATTTCTATGCTTTGATTTGTTATTTTATGGTTTCAGACTATAGAGGCTCTTTCATCTGTTCCATCCCCTGATCTTGCATTGAGGCTGTATTTGCAATGTGCTGAGGTGTGGTAACAGGCCATATATATAGTTATGAGCTATCAAATTAACCATGGAAACATTTTTAACATGCATTTGACATTCTTTTTTGATACTATAGGCTGCCAGTGATTGTGACCTTGAGCCAATAGCATATGAATTTTTTACCCAAGCATTCATTCTCTATGAAGAAGACATTGCGGTGATTTTGTTTCTCCTTTTCCTTATCATCTAAATTGTTTATTTACTTGGAGAATAAGAATTCCACGATTATTTCAAACTGTATACTCATGACATTTTCTGTTATTAATTTAGGACTCCAAAGCACAATTTACAGCTATCCATCTTATAATTGGTACTCTACAAAGGATGAATGTGTTTGGTGTGGAGAACAGAGATACTCTGACACATAAGGCAACAGGGGTACAACTCCTCTCCTAATGCACGAATCAATCTCTATGAAGCTGATTTTCTGTTTCCTCACAGCTGTTGGTTAATGTTTTTATTTCAGTACTCTGCAAAACTTTTGAAGAAGGCCGACCAATGCAGAGCCGTTTATGCATGCTCTCATCTCTTTTGGGTGGATGATCAAGATGGTATCAACGATGGAGAAAGGTACAACTCTTTTTCTTTGCTAAATGCCGACATGCCTTTTGAGTTTTCTCATCACATTTGAAATCTGGTTTTGTGCTAAGAGTTTATTTGTGATGATATTAGGGTCTTGCTATGCCTCAAGCGTTCTTTGCGGATTGCAAATGCTGCTCAACAGATGGCAAATGTGACACGTGGAAGTAGTGGACCAGTTACCTTGTTTGTTGAAATTCTGAACAAGTTAGTTGCTCTGAGAAAAATAATGCCATGCTATCTTATCATGCTTCTGTGGTCTTTGACTCCTCTTGTGCATTGCTCTACCTTTTTGCTTAATCTCTAGTTCTGATGTGTCAAATGTTACACGAATAGGTATCTCTACTTCTTCGAGAAGGGAAATCCAAAAGTTACAAGTTCAGCAATCCAAGGCCTTGTAGAGTTGATAAGAACTGAAATGCAAAGTGACACATCAACTCCCGATATAGCTGCCACTGCCTTTTTTAACAGCACTTTGCGGTATATCCAATTCCAGAAACAGAAAGGAGGTGTAATGGGTGAAAAGTACGAACCAGTTAAACTATGACTATGCACGTCTGATCCGTGTATGAAGGTCTAGTACTGTAGTTGTACTTTGCAAGCTCGTTAAGCCAAGTTCCAAGTAAATATAACCGTAATGGACAAGGATGTTGTGACAGCCTTTACGAAGATACTGCTTGCTGGATCAAGATGAAAATAGTTTTTTTTTAGAATGTCAAAATTGTATGCTGTGCTCAAGTTGTATGTAGATCTTTTTTTTCTTTCTTTTATTCTTCTCTCTTTTAAAATGTATGAGTTGATTTCTTTTAACATAATAAGGCCCCTCAGAAGACTAGGAAGATGTTCAACTTCTGGGTAAGCATTTGTATAATAATATACTTCGTATAAAACGTTTGGAAACTTACTGATCGATTAATTGATTTCATTTCTCATTCAAATTCCTATAAATATTTTTTTTCCTTCAAATCCTTTCTTTCACATTTATTTTTAAGTTCTGTCTGTCATCGGTTATAAATTCCTCATCTTGATCAGGTGGTGAATTATAATATAACTGGTAGGATGAAAATTATAAGTTGACATCGCGATCTGTTGAAACACAGGCTAGCAAAATATAATTAAAATTAAATTAATGTTTCGACGATTTTTGTGGTTCAGCAATGCATAGCTTTAGAACCCCTTAACTATTACCGGAGATAGGGAAGGGATGCTAGTTGGAGGGAAGAATTCTGAAGGCTGGGCGTGGTGTTTGCACTTAAAGTATACTCCCTCCGTTATTTATTTTATTTTTAATTATTATTATTACATTACTTGAAAATGCACAAAAGTTTTAGAAGAGTAATAGAATGGGTGAAGAAATTACGAGTATTATAATAAAGATAATGAAAGAGAAGGTTTTTGAGAGAAAATAAATATTTTTATTATTTAATTGGGGGCCATAGAAGAGAGAGAAATGATAAAATAATTTAAAAGCATGTTCTCATTGACTGAACTCAGCTGAGCTGAGCTGAACTGAACTGAACTGAATTGAGCTGAAATGAACTGAACTGAACTGAATATTTTATAAGAGAAGGAAATTAGGAGCTGAGCTGAACTGAACTGAACTGAACTTCAACGTAAGAGAACATGCCCTAAGTGGGGGCTACATATAACATTACCCTAAAAATAAGAGTGAAAAATGATAAAATATGCTTCCTCAAAACTTGACCTGTTTCTTTTATCATGCTAGCCAATGCAAAACTATAACAGTTAATAACTTTAATTCTCCGTAATTAAAAAATATAAAAGTTATATATTATGATAGTTCTTATTGAGACGAATTCAAAATGATCAACATAAATATGTTTTTCCTTATATATTATTCACAAAACACGGTTAAAGGAGGGGTGGTGAATAGTGTAAAAGTCAAAGCGGGTCAAGTAAAAAAGAACGGAGGAAGTAGTATATAAAGTTACCAAATATAGAAGTGATGCATTAAAAAAACACCTATAAAAGGAAAATGATGCAAATAAAAAAATGGAGGGAGTATTTAAAACAAAAAACATTATTGTTTCGGGGTTTTCTGATGTCCTGCGGGAGAGTTACAATTCCGAGACTGGAACCGGACGCCTGTACCTGCAAAACAAACGGATGCTCCGGATGATTGGAGATCCGCCTCCGACGGTCAAGTTAGTACTTGATTAAGGAGTAATTAATGCGGAAATTAAAGTGATTGGGTCTCTCTAGGTGAGAGTGTTTAATGGGTGTAATCTGCGTAATCCCCCTTAATGAGGATTAAGGGAGGTATTTATAACCTCGGGAAACGCGCCAATCCTAGGTTTAGGTTAACCTTGGGCTGATTGGGCTTCCCTCGGAAGTTGGGCCTAGGTGGCCGACTTCTCCATTAGGCATGGAGTATGCCACGTGTCATGACATAATAGGTCCAGGGTGGACGAATAAGCGTGTGCCACGTGGCAAGCCCTGAGAGGTCCAACTGGGGGACACTTGGCAGGACCTGATTGGCCCACGTGGAGCATTCCGATTGGTGGGAGCAAAATCCCCTAATCATTTGCCCCTCACAGGTGGCACGTGACTGGTCACGTGTTACCTGTGACAGGTGTCGCCCTGTAACAGGCGACGGCCTGCTACAGGTGTCACTCGGCGAAAGGCCGAGAGATTCTCCCGCCCAAATTTTGAATTCCGGAAGTGACCCTTCGCCTTCTTACTTCGCCTATATAAGGGAGTGTTGCCTTCGGTCATTTTCACACTTGAGAACTTTGTGAAAGAACATTCGGACCCTTGAACTTGCTCTGACATTTTGGACCCTTTCTGCCTACCGCCTGCTCTGACAAGCCGACTGCAAAGGATTTTCAGAACTTCATCAATCGTCACTCGTTCAGGTAACCGTCGGTTCTCTTACTCTTAATTTTCTCTTTACTTTATTCTTTTTTGAAATGGCACCACGGAAGCACACGACACGACCTAGGTTAGTGATCAGCCGGTCACCGGGGACGGCTGAATCTAGGACTAGGAGTGCCGCCTGCCCTTTTCTGGACCCATCTTTGCCCTTTATACAAAGTCCGACTGTATCTGTGTCTATGCAGAACATGATGGCCAGAACAAAAAAGACTGCTAGGATCTCGAACTCAGACGACTCCTCCCACAGGGTGCCGATTAGTGAAACATCTGACCAGGCGCCAGATGTGGAAGTGAAACAAAGCGGCTTGAAAGCCGGCAGTTCTAAGGGAGGAGTCAAAGTGACCCCTTCCCATTTTACAGTTGACAATTCTACATTCTCTCCTGCTCCTTTTAAAAGAGAGGAGGCGGGCCCCTCTGGGAGAGGGGAGGAGTCGTCCTCTTCGGACTCGTCAGAGGACGAATCCGAGTCTAGCTCTTCTGGCCATGCTTCTCTGGACACAGAAGAGAAAAATAGTCGCCTACAAGAGGCGAGGCTTTCTCACGCAGTTGAGAAGGGGGACAATTGGGCGGAGCCATCCGCCTCTCACCGAGAGCAAAATACCCCCTACTACTGCACGGTACCTCGGGGCCGGATCACGTCCATGCAAGAGAAAGTGGGGAGCTTTATCGCAAACCACACAATGGGCCCCGGCTTTTTAGTGTTCGTGCCGGATCCAGAAGACACAGTCGTCTGGCCGGCTGGTACTAGTTATGATGGCGCCTGCTTTGGCTGCTACGAGGCGGCCATCAAGGCTGGGCTGCGCTTCCCACTACATCCGGCTGTTCAGCGGATCTTGGATGGGTATGAGTTGGGGTTATGGCAGTTAGCCCCGAACTCCTGGGTCAACGTACTCGGCTATGTGGCCGGGTGCGAACTGCACGGGGTGGAGCCGAACTTCGAGACTTTTGCCCACATGAACTACCTCAGCCGGACCCCTAAGGCAGGCGGTACCGGCTGGTATCAATTGACGAGCCACAGGGGCTACCTCATGACAAGAGGTAAAGCAAACAAATGGAAGGACTGGCGGAGCACCTTCCTTATCATTGAGAGTTCAGACACAGAGCTGAACAAGCGCTTCAACAGGTGGAACAGGAATCCGCCCCTTCTTGCAGGCGGCCGCAGCATGCCGCCTGTTCCCCCCAAGGCTAAGAAAGAGATCCTAGATAAAGGACTCTTCAAAGTAGAGTCGAAGGTGAACTCTACTTCAGGGGTACGAGAGCAAGTACCCCTGCACTGCGTCCCGAGCTTCAAATGGCTCTACGACGAGTACTTTTTGGCCGCCTGTGGCCTCAGCAGTCGGTGCTCAAGAGGTAGCCGGCCTGTCGAATACTCTGTTGTTCCATGCATTTCTGTTATGACTTTTATTAACTTTGCTATTTGTTTTTGCAGCGGACGCCATGAGCAAAATTACCGCCTCCAAGACTGCGGCGGCCATGTTGCGGGCCTCCATCATGCAACAGTCTTCAACCGACTCCCCCAACAAGGGGGCACCCTTGGTGGGCTTCGAACCTTTCACTCTCCTTTTGGAGTTGTGTTTATGCATATACTGACTCTTTTCTTCTTTTTTAGACGGGCGCTCCAAGAGCTTCTTCTTCCCAACAGCCGGACTCCAAGGCCCGGAGGACGACTGTTGCGAGCTCTCCTGGTTCTGCCAGGAAACATGCGGCGGCTGAGAAACAGCCGGCCACTCCTTCCAAAACTCCAATTGGGCCGCCTAGAAGTATGAAGTTGTCCTTGTAAATTTTAGACTTGCTCCCTTCTTTACTAGGTCTAATCCGTTTGTCTATGCTTAATGCAGCCGGCCCTCAGGAGCCTGACTTGGTCGAGGTGGCCAAGTCTATGATCAAGGCCGTTCCTCCATCTGAAAGGGAGGCGGTCAGGGGTGTCGGCACCCTTGACCTAGACGGGATTGCAGGAGTCCTTGCTGAGGTATACTTAACATATTTTTGAGTATTTGAATTCCAGGACGCCCCCTTTTTTTTTTTTTTTTTTTTTGAAAACTGACGCCTGTTCCCCTTTTTACTTAGGCCCTGCTCCGAGTAAACGGCCTCCGTAAGCCGCTTGACAGGAAGAACAAAGAGGTAAAGGCTGCAAAAGCTATGGCCGCCTCTGACTGTGATAAGGCAATGTTTCAAATTGCCCAAAATGAGGTTCTGACAATTGATATTCTTTATTATCAGGCGCAGGCTACCGTTGCTATCCGGGCTCAGTTAAAGGCAGCCCAGAAGAGGAATAGCGAGCTGGAGGCGACCATCAACAGTCTCAAGGCCGAGCTGAGACCTCTTCGCCAAAAGATGTCCTCATACGACACCTTGGAGAAATCCTTGGCGGCTGTTAAGGAACGCCTGGTGACCCAGGAGAAGAGTCTTACTCAGGAGCTCTCGGAAAAGGCCGAGCAAGAAAAGAAAGAGCTGGTCCGGGAGATGATGGAAGACTCTGCTCAAATCCAGCGCATGACTTGGGGCCGCCTCTTCCCCAATGCCGACTTTGCCTCCTGGGAAAAAACGTACCGCCAGTGTTCTGATAGATATAATCAAGAGATCCTGGCGGCTGCTGAGGACGAGGCGTTGGAGGAGGAGGAGCAGCTGGTAGTGGCGCTTGTGCCGCTTGGGGGTAATGCATCGAAGAAGGATGCAGCTGATGCCGAGTCCAGCAAAAAGAGTGCTGACCAGGCGGCAGCTGCTAATATTGAAGATCTGCCCCCTTCTTAAGCTTTATGTCTTCTTTCCACGGCCTGCGTGCCGTTTGTTTGTATTTACCCGGCAAGGGGGCCGGGGTTCTGAATATTTGGCCGGTCTTTAATGACCGGCTTCCTTTTATGCTGAAATATTTTACTTATGTTTTGTTTCAAATTTGTTTAAGTATTGAATATTCTGATATCCAATTGCACACTATACCGACTGTTTTGCATGGCCGATAGTTGCGGACAGGTACGAAATAATTAGTCACACTACCTATATATACCGACTGTTTTGCATGGCCGATAGTTGCGGACAGGTACGAAATAATTAGT